AGAGGTTCTCATTGGTCTGGAGTGAGACCCAGGCATCAGTATTTTTTAAAAGTTCTTCCAGATAATTCTAATGTGTGGCCAGCATGTGTGGCCAGCATTCAGAGGCACCGTCTTTATGTTTTTCTCTCTCAGAATGGGTATCCGAACTTAATGCTAATGAGAAAGTACTTCAGATTTTATCACCCTATATCTCGGAAAACCACTTTTCCTCTATTGAGTGCCACTGACCCATAAGAAAAAAAAAAACGTCAATAGTCTAAGTGTACAAGCACGAAGTGACTTAATTGAATTTTTTGCAAAAGGAAAAAATTCAATCCATTTGTTTTTGAGTTTAATAACGGGGTGAAAAAGAAGTAACCTATCGGTTAGTGTGTGCCACTAACCAATTATTATGTTATTATGTTTCATGGTCTACTTTAAACACTTTTACATGTATTGTTTTATTTAGTCTCCCAAGCAACGTAGAAAGGCAAATATTATTATTCCCATTTTTACAGTCAAGGAAACAAAAACTCAGAGATGTTAAATTGACTTGTCCAAAGTCACAGAGTTGGCATATGGTGATGCCAGGAGGCAAACAAACAAATGGCCCCATCTGCTGCTCTCACTCATCTCTTTTCATCAGGCCATGCTGCCCTATCTAAAGAAAACCTTAGTGAATGATACTTCACCAAGCAATAGAAATTTTCTCTCCAAGCCAATGAAAGGGATAGATAGAGCTGGACAATCAAGAGAAGGAAAGAAAAGAAGTAGAGTAAGAAGAATGAAATTCAGTGCAAGCTAAGAGAAGGATCAGAAAGGAGACATCAACTGCATCCAGCAGATGAGTCACAGTGCGTGAGGCCAAAGTCATACTAAATAGCCACATTTCCCAATAGCTACTTAGATGGTCAAGGCAGCAAATACAACCAGTGTGTTACCATGTGCCCTAGATTGTGCTGTAAGGGTGCATAAGACACAGTCCTGCCCTACAGATGCTTATAACCTAGCATGGGAGGCAGATTTGCACACAAACAGGATAGATTTTGTCTTGCCTTAGCAGAAGTAAGTACCGAGAACTGGGAGTAGAGATGAAGAAGCTGTTCATATGGGTCAGAGAAGACTTAGATGGCTTTGAAACAGGGTAACTCATTCACGATGAAGACAGAAGGAATGGTCGAACTGAATCATGGAAATAGAAACTAGCAAGGTGTGTGTTTGAGAAATGGAAAGGGCCCTTTATAAATTTCTGAGACAGGGAAATAATCCCATTCTCACTGACTCCCTCCTTTTACTCAGGGCTGAGATTGTATCTTCTAGCTTTGAATTTTCACATCATACTCATCTGCAGTTATATAGGAATGGTTCTGCCAGGTTCACTCCAGTTCCTAGATCATTTAATAGTGGAATTAGATTCAGGTTTCCTCTCCTCACTGCCCACAGCTCTGTGCAGCCACTATACAACGCATATCTCTATTTTATGTTAGGATTCCAAATTACAAAATTGTATAAAGTACTTTCTTTTTTGGTCTCTATATCCCTATCCTGATCACAATTCAAATGAAAAGTTTCTTGTCCTATAAAATGAGCAAAATTGAATTAATTTCTTAAGGTGTTCAGAAGGGCTGTCTTGAGCTGGGAAAGAACTTCCAAGCCAGCTTCCATTAACACATTTGGAATTCTAGGTGTTTCTTTGAAGCCCGGAAATTTTTTTTTAACCTGCACAGAACCTTTACACTATTGCCTTTAAAGCAGATACTTCCTTTTGTTTTAATTAACAATGACTTTAGCAGGTTTTAAACAATGGTTTGTCTTTATGAAAGAAAACTAGGGTGGAAACACTCCAAATCCACTTTTTGGGATAAACTGAGGAGTCATTAAGTCCTTTCCAACAAGATTTAGACAGTTCATTAGAATAAATATATTTTCATCTCCCACTTTCTATATCATCTTAAAACAGAGCAAAGGTACAGTGCTGGAATAATGACACACAGTCTGAAAAATATTCTAAATGTACTGAAATCACTGCAATGCCTTTCACTTTGTAGTTTCAAAACATTTATAATTTGTATGATGTGTCTATTAAATGCTGCCTAATAGCCAGGAACAGGACAGCACTCAGGAATTTATTGGTTTACCTAGACTCAAATTGTGACCAAACCCTGTGAAGGAATGACTAAAGCAATCAGAAGATTCTACTGGAGTCCAAGTTGAAATAACTTCTTGAAAGTTTAAGCCAATGCTCATTCTTATGAAGTAATGTATTCAATTTAGATTAAAAGTATTCTTATTTCCTGAAAGTTAACTGGTTTTAATAATGGATGTAGTCCCTATTCTATTTGATATTTTAGAGATGCTCAAAAAGAAACATAAATGACTTTAAACAACCCAGACCTAAGCCATTTAAACAGACAGCAGATTTAATTTCTATGTCTTTCTAAGTCTAGAGTCTAGGACATCCATGCAGGTGAATCCTTTGATTCCTGCCATTATCCCAGAACAAGGGTAGATGTATGAATTCTTGCATCTATACTGGTTACTAAACTCCCAGCCTCTGTTCTACCTCCTACAGTCTCTGTTCCTCATAGCTCTGATGCTGACCCAAGGGTTATAAAAGGAGATCAATTCCCAGACCTAATCCCAGAAAGTAAATACACAACAACAGAGTATATGCTTAGATCCATTCTTCAATTTATTGAATCACAAAATACTGGCGCTGAGAGGAATCTTAGAAGCTAACAGTTTCAAACTCTCCGTGGTACAGAGTAAGCCCTAGAGATGTTAAGTGACTTTCTCAAGGTCACACAGCTAGTTAGTGACAAAACTGGGCCCATTACCAACCACTCACTATGAGTGCATGCTCTGATCCCTTGCTACTCAGTGTTGTCTGCAGACCAGCAATATCAGCATCACTTGAGAGCTTGTTAGAAAGGTAGGCTCTCAGGCTCCACCCAAGACCCTCTAAAGCAGAATTTGCATTGTAACAATTTTTTTTTTAAACAGGATGTCCCTGTGTCATCCAGGCTGGAGTGGTGCAGTGACACAACCACGGCTCACTGCAGCCTGGAACTCCCAGGCTAAAGCTATCCTCCCCCCTTAGCCTCCTGAGTAGCTGCCACTACAGGCACACCCTACGACACATGGCTAACTTTTTTATTTTTAATTTTATGTAGAGACGGGATCTTGCTATGTTGCCAGGTCTGGTCTCAAATTCCTGAACTCAAGTGATCCTCCCTACTAAGCCTCTCAAATTGCTGAGATTACAGGCATAAGCCACCACAACTGGCCCAAATCTTTAGCTCATTCATAGGCACATTACAGAGCTGAAGCCAAGCCAGGCACATTGGCAAGAACCTGTAGTCCCAACTACTGGGGAGGCTGAGGAGGTAGGATTTATTTTATATATTCAGTTAGTTAGTTAGTTAGTTAGTTAGTTAGTTAGTTAGTTAGTTAGTTTTGAGATGGAGTCTCGCTCTGTCACCCAGGCTGGAGTGCAGTGGCGAGATCTCCGCCGCCCGGGTTCATGCCATTCTCTTGCCTCAACCTCCCGAGGAGCTGGGACTACAGGCACCCACCACCACGCCCAGCTAGCTTTTTCTATTTTTAGTGGAGACAGGGTTTCACCATGTTAGCCAGCATGGTCTCGGTCTCCTGACCTCATGATCTGCCCTCCTCGGCCTCCCAAAGTGCTGCGATTACAGGCGTGAGCCACCGAGCCTAGCCAGAGGTAGGATTTCTTGAACTCAGGAGTTTGAGGATGCAGTGAGCTATGATTGTGCATGGGAATAGCTGCTGCATTTCTGCCTGGGAAATGTAGCAAGTTCTCATCTCTAAAGAATATATTTTTAATTTAAAAACTAAAAGAATTGAAGGCAAGTAGATGTTGGTTTGAAGCATGGCTCTACCTGTTCCAGCTGTAAGCAAAAATCTCAAACTCCTGAAAGCATCATTTAGAATCTGGAAATGATATCACTACCCACCTTGCAGAGTTTTCATTCTATAAGCATAACATAGATATATGCATATGCATTTCATGAAATATGTATGTGCATAAATAATATATTCAAAGTGCATGGCATATAGTAGAGAATATGGTATACAGTAGCTAATGTTATTTCCTGTCTCATGCTTATCATTAGTATTGTGCTTAACCATACTGAAAGCCACTAATGACTGCATCCATGAAGGAATCACCAGTCTTCCTTCCTTGGTTCTAATGTGTTAAATATCATTTTAACTTTTATATATGATTAAGACTTCTTTATTTAATGTTCGTAACTCCCAAGAAAATTATTATTATGTGGAAAACAAATAATAATAGCTAACTACTTTTAGTGCTGTGCTTAGAGAGGAAAGAACATCTGCCAAAGCCAAGTCATAGTAACAATTAAAAAAAAAAACCCACAACATTCTTAATATATCTTGACTCTAGATCCTACAAACCTGGCTTCTCCAGAAGCCAGAGAGTATCAGCTGCCACTGATGCTGTAATTTTCTTAGGCAGAGACTCAACTGCCGTGGGCAGATGCCACAACAGCAGCAAAAGTGGAGCACGGTTAAAAGATGACATTTCATCACCAACATGTCACACTTGTCAGCATTAAAAAAAAAAAAACAGATTGAAAAGAAGAAGTCAAATTTTAGTATCCAAATCTGAACTAAAATTTTGGAAAAATACAGCATAGTAAAGAGTGTGAAACTGTACCAAAGTGATATTTTGAAGGAGATATTTTGGGGAAAATGTGACTTTAACATCAATTAGAAAACCATGTTTTCCTAAGGCAGTAATTCTCAATCCCAGCAGTGCATTACAATCAGCTAAGGAAGCTTTAAAAAGATTGAATGCAAATTTCTGAGAGAGGACCAGGCTCCAGTGTTTTTTTAAAAATTCCCAGTCAATTTTAATATGCAGCCGGGATTGAGAACCACTGCCCCTATGGCATCACAACCCTGTTGTTAAGTAAGAGTCCATCCACTGAGAGCTATTCGTTGCTGTTAACTTCCGTGTGTACCTCTTCTAGGTCTTTTTGCCATTCCTCCAGGACATCCACCGTAAGGAAAGGAGACCCTGGACCAACATTCTCTAAGATGTTTATATGGACCAGTGGCCGGACCTCTTCATCTTATAGACATGATGAAAAAAGGTAAATGCACTGGGATTCTGGGAACTTTTCAGAAGCATTTAACCTGACTCTCCAAAGAGGATACTGACAGGAAAGTAGTAGGCAACTGAGCCTTATGCTTTGCAATGTGCGGACGGACTCTACACTATAGGAGTAGGGTTTCAGACACTTCGGCCTTCCTTCTCTTTGCACTTTACATGTTTGCTTTCAGCACATACCCTTGCAAAAGTTGTTCCCTGTCAGAAATTCCCATGTCACAAGCTCTTTGCTTAGCTAACTCCAGCTCTGCCTTCAGATATCCAATGTGAACCACCACTCCCATCAGCCTCTTTAGCCAAATGGACTGTGTTGTTGAATTTCCAGCACCTAGCACTGTACCTGGCACACGACGCTCAATGAATACTGAGCACCAAATGTATTAATAATAATTTATTAACTGAATTAATTTTATTAATTAATAATGAAATTTAAATAATAAAATATAATTAATAAAATAATAAATACTGAGAACCACTGGCAATTCAGTTTCTTCTTCCAAAGTGATGAAAACTGCATTTCTGGGTACTGGACATACGGCAGGGAAGGAAAACAGAAACTATGAGAGGAGGAAAAGAGGACAGACAAATCCACTGAGCCCTCAAAAATCATTGGAAGAATAGTCTGGGGGAAGGGAAAAATGAGGGAACAAGAAGAAAGATAAAGGGCAAAGGCAGCGTTAAGAAAAGACAAGATGACCATTGTGCAACTCAATCCAGTCCTCTCACTTGGGTTTAGGGAGTAAATGTATTCATAAAATTCTCTAGTCATTTTTAAATATTTAGTCTTCCTCTTTCCCATGACCTTGCACTATTATTTGGGTTAAGTGAAGCTAAATTTTAAGTATAACTGCCTTTACCAGCATATTGCAACAGAAGCAAGTTGCAAATCAGGCAGAATCTGATAGAAATCAGGATCAATTTGGTTGAAGGAAATTTGTGAAAAACTGATAACAAAATAAAATTTAAAATTAAATAAAAATTTAAAAATACAGTTGATAAAAGTTGGTAAGGCACAAGGAGAAGAATCTGAAGGAGGTTTGCCTGAATACTGTTTTCAGAGCTGATACTTTTATTCTCCTTCTAAAACCTCAATTGCCTCACAGATAAAAATTATTTTAAAAATTTCAAAAGCAAAGTTGTTCTTCACAATAATTATATATTACAGCAAAAGTTGGGAAGCGACTTGAAAATTCACAATAGAAAATCTGCTAAATAAATCACTGAATGTAATATACCACTTAGCACTTTAAAATGCTTTGACATAATATTAACTGAAAAAAGCAAGTTGAAAATTTGCATACAAACTATGATTGCAGCCACAAAAAATATACATAGGCAAAAGCCTGGAAGAAATAGCATAGTTTTTACTGCTCTACTTTCCAAATGCTTTGTAATATATTGTTACCTTACTTATGGAAAAAATAATTATATGATATTTAACTAAAATTATAGCCCAGAAGGCAACTAATGTTGCCTTGTCAGCATTTAAAAAACAAGTCCCAGTGCTCATCATGACACCAAGCAAATTAACTGAAAATTTACGTTACTTGATCATCTCTAGGTTTTCACTGCTTTTTCTCAAGGTTTAATCAAATTATTTTTCATTTGCTTTCAAGTTGAATCATCTTTCAGCAAGTTCATTTCTTTAACACTGTAAAATTTCACATGTCATTTCAAATTCTATATGTGAAAGTGCAGAAAGGCAGAGATTTGGTCCTGCAACTTCCGTCCCAGGACCAAATCCAAGAGTTTTGTTGCCCTACAGGAATATGGTAATTGTCAACAGCCAGCTGTCCTGAAATTCTGAAGGCAAGTGAAGTGTAATGCATTTCTTTCACCTTCTATTTACTCTCAGCAAATAATTCAATACATTTTGCTACTTTTTATGAACAAAGGAATTAACATTTAAGAAGCAATTACTGTGTACTGCAGGTTTTAATTGTGTTCTCTTAGGATAGAGATTATTATGCCTGCTTCACAGATGAGGAAACTGAGACTTTTTAAATAACGGAGAGATTTTCAACAACTTCCAAAGGCCCAACAACTAGCCAGTGATGAAATCAGGATTTGAACCCAAGCTGATGCTCTCTCCCTGTACCCCAGTACCTGCCCATGCTCTTGTGATAGTGAACAGCCAAGCCCACAAGGGGAAAAGTATGTTAAAATAGAGTTGGATATTGCATATCAAAGAAGATAATAAACATGTGACTGACAAATTGGTAATATTTGTGGAGTTTGAAAGGCGTGAACAATTAGCTTACTATATTCTGCATCAATAAGGTTCTATGAAACTGAAATTACTGTTTTAATTTTTTATTTTTAAAGTATGATTTCATGACTATGGGATTTATAATAGTTAAAATATTGACTATGAAGAAATCATTTTTCAGCAAGCTTTATTTATGGGATGGGGATGCAAAAGCTTATTAAATAAGTCTGCATGGCGAAAAAGCACAAACAATAGAATCTGCCATTAATTAGTTTAATGTTGGAAGTTCATTTGCCTGTGCTTTTTTCTTGACCACATCTTCGTCTTTGCTGCTTAATTCACAAACTCTTGGAAGATCCGACTCAGATTTTAAACTGACTTTGAGCAGTATCTGTGGCTCTGTTTAAGGTGCTCTCGGTGGCAGTAAACATGGTGATAATGAAGATGATGATGGCTGATAATTAATCTACATAATTAAGGTCCTCAAGTTAATTATTTGGAAGTAAATTAACTAGATTGTCTGACAGCACTGCCTCAAATTGCTGGTAATTCAGTTTCTTCTCGTTCTGCAAACCTGGCCTCTGTGTATGCCTGGTTTCTCCAGCTGTGTTCCCACAGCAATCCCAGAAGCCAGGCCATCCAAAATCCTCAGCTGCTCTCCACACCTCCTCTTCCTGAGAACAGGGCCAAGTATGTCAGGATATTGGATTCCCTGGGATTACTCAAATGGTAGAATACCAGGAAACCAGCTTAAGGGCAGGCAGAGCAACTTAAGAGGAAGGAAAAGTTCACTGAAAATTCTGAAACCAAATGTTTTCTTGCTCAGAAGAGATGGAAGTTAGTTTTACTTTTTTTTTTCTTCATTTTAATTCCAAGCCAGATCTTTTTCTGATCATCTTCTATACGCAAAACATAAGGTCCTATCTTCATCTTCCATTCTGCAACCCAGTAATGTGGAGAAATATTTTTTTCTTCTCACAACAAACTTGTTAGTTGAACTCACTTTAATCCCTAAATTTTTTTTTTTTTTTTTTGAGATGGAGTCTCGCTCTGTCGCCCAGGCTGGAGTGCAGTGGCACAATCTCGCTCACTGCAACCTCTGCCTCCCAGGTTCACGCTATTCTGCCTCAGCCTCCTGAGTAGCTGGGACTACAGGCACCTGCCACCATGCCTGGCTAATGTTTTTTGTTTTTTTGTGTGTGTGTGTGTATTTTTAGTAGAGACGGGGCTTCACCATGTTAGCCAGGATGATCTCGATCTCCTGACCTCGTGATTCGCCCACCTCAGCCTCCCAAAGTGCTGCGATTACAGGCGTGGGCCACCATGCCTGGCCTGATCCCTAAATTTCAAGCAGCAAAAAAGCAGAATAATTAATTTAGAAATTTAAAAAGAGAGAGGTTTTTAAGCTAAGGTCATTACAGACTGTTAATCAAATATTCTTTAAATTGCCTATATTAAATATTGAAGTGATACAAATAAATATTTATTACATATGTTAATATACAAAGAATGATATTATAAACATCCAGGTACCCATCATTCAGCTTAAAAAACAAAACAATCAGAATTTTTGAAGCCCTGGAGGATGCTTTCCTAATACTATTCTACTCCCCATCCCAGCCCCCAACCCAGAGGTAATCAATATCCTGAATTTTGGGTATATCGTTCCCCAATTTTTTTTCTTGAGTTTATTGTATTTGGATCTTCAAACAATATATTGTTTACATCTGAATGTTTGGAGACTTCATATAAATGGAATCATGCCATATTTATTCTGCAACTTGCTTTTTTCACCAAACATTATGTTGCTATGATTCGCCAATGCTGGCGTGAGTCGCTGTAGTTCATTTTTTCTGCTATGTAGTATCCCATTACATGAGCATACTACCATTTAATCATTCAGTCCACTGCTAAGGGACATTTGCATTATTTGCCAGTTCTTTTGTCTTTGCCAACAATGCTGCTATTCTTGTACATGTCCCTTTGTGCATATGTATGAACATTTCTTAAGATTTATGCCGAACATGGGAATGGTTGGTTCAAAAGTATACACAGCTTTAATTTTACCAAGTAATGCCATGGTTTTCCAAAGGAGCCATACATGTGATTCCCATTGCTCTACAGCCTTGTTTAGAGTTTTCAGATTTCTAATTTTCATTAATCCAGAGGGTATTGTTATTTTAATTTTCATTTCTCAGATTAATAATGAGATGGAATCAATTTCCTTAGTCCTTTTTTCTGAGTTCACTGTTTAAATATTTGGCCCAATTAGGTCAAATACTTGATCGTTCAAATAATTTGCAATTATTTCATTAGATTTATACTTAAGTAACATTTTGCAGCAATTATAGTCATACTTCTATCATTTTTCTACTGGATCGTCTTTTACTTGACTTGTAGGAATTCATTATATAAGTCCATGTTAATTCTTTATCTGCTATATGTATGCAAATAGCTTCTCCCAGTTTGTGGTTTGGCTTTTCACTTTCTTTATCATGTCTTTTGATAAATATATTAATATGTTCTTAACTTTAATATATTCTAAGTTAACAATTTTTGGAAAATTTTGAAATCCCATCCTACTCCAGATTCAAATAGACATCCTCCTGCACAGTTTTCTAAATTTTATGTAGCATTATCTTTCACAATTAAGTATTTAATCATCTGGAATTGATACCCAACATCCAGTTTTTATATGGATAACCAATTGCCCCAGCACCATTTATTGGAGAGTTTATCCTTTCCCCATTGATCCAAAAATCACTTGTCATTTA